GTGTGTGTGTGTGTGTGTGTGTGTGTGTGGTTACAGTTGACACAGTGCCACCTGTCACTGTTGGGGTGGACAAAAGAGAGACAGGAATAGACACAGAGGGTGAATTAGATTAATCTCTTGGTCCTCTACCTAATCTAACAAAAAAGGTTGCTAAGCCTTCACTTTGTGCAGAGGCCTGCACTGACCTTGGAGGCTGCCCGTGCAATAGCCAGGTCACAATCATTTACTTTTCATTTTTAATGCAAATAGGGTCTTTAGGTGTGTGATATTCCCATGAATACAAATGTTCCTGATTAAAAATAACAGTTTCTGCTCCTCTTATGTGTGAAAACTGCTTGTTCTGACACTATTGGTTTTGAGATGATAATTTTGTTTCCGTGTGGGACTTGAGGATTAAACCTCCACTCCTGTCACTCACCACCTTTCAAAGGAATGAAACCTGACCATACCCCCCCCACCCCCCTCCTTTTTTTCCTGTTGATGTGTCCAGGCCTCAGGTACTGGTGCTGCTGAACGTGGACTCCGATCAAGGAGTCAAACACCCTCGCCTGCTCTCCCTCACCACTCAGCTGAAGGCAGGAAAAGGCCTGACGATTGTGGGAAATGTTTTAGAGGGAACGTATCTCACTAAGGACGCAGAGGCCAAGAGGGCTGAGCAGGTATAATTATAACTCATACACACCGCCAAGTAAAAATATGTCGATGTGGAACATGAAAAAATTCAAACAATGGATTGTCATTGATTTCACAATCGTGTTCAACTAAAAGTAGAAATTGATGGCGGCAGTTACTGTCCCTCTCAAATTGGCGAAATAATACATTGTTTTAATGGCAGTGTTTGAAGTTCACCTCTGGTCGCACAAGATAATCTATTGTGTCAAACAAGATTAATAGTCAGGATAATCATTTTACATCCACACTGCAGATTAACTCTGCCACCTACTGGCCGAATTTAATATTCTTCTTCTTCTTCTTTTTTTTTTATTTTGGCAACCTGATTTGTCCTCAGAAGCATTTTAAATCAGTGGATTATTTTTTCTACAAAAGCAATCATGTGCAGAAGCTGAATTCCAGATTATACAGAGAGCTGTATTCATTTGATAAGACCCATCAGTATGAATTAATGGTGAGATTGCTGTATGGTAATTTTTGGGTGAAGTCAGCCACAGGTTTGATTTGATATTAATCAATCAGTGATTACAATTACTGAGTTGACATGTCTCCACAAAGACATATTTTTAAAAGTCCAATCATGAATGCGTTTTCTGTTCCATCGTATTGACTACTATGATTTTCTCCCATGTTTTATCTAGAACATCAAGTCCTCTATGTCAGCAGAGCGGACCAAGGGTTTCTGTCATGTTGTGGTGTCTTCAAACCTCAGAGATGGCATGTCCCACCTCATCCAGTCTGCAGGCCTGGGGGGCATGAAGCACAATACGGTCCTGATGGCCTGGCCCGGGACCTGGAGGCAGTCTAATGACCCCCAGTCATGGAAGAATTTCATAGGTAGACACAGAAAGGAATAAATTGCAGTACAGAAAAGAAAAATCAGGAGAACACTGTGGAAGATTAACACATTATGGTTGATCTAATAATGCAGTTGAAGTCATGATAGTGCATGTATGCACACCTGCTTGTCTCATAATGTCCCATAGGCCCTGTTCAGACCTGGTATTAACTTCCATCTCACGTGATCTTATCACAAGTGGACAGCTCTGTATGTCGGTCCACACCTGACATTAGAATGTGTCTCCAGTGACCACTCAGTATTAGAACTCATTTCTATGTCCTATTTGCACATAAACACACACATCATTTCTGTTTGTTAAGCCTAAAGACAAACACATGATGTCAATGTGTGTGTGTCTCAGTATCTGTGTGTTGGTGTGAGACTGAGGGAGAGGGAGACATAGCGGCGCCGGGAGGGGCTGAGTGAATCAATGTGATTCGGACAGCTCGACTATGAAAAAGGATTTTACCCATCCTGAAAAAAAGGAGACAATCCTCTAATGTGGCCCAGGACGCGTATGTCTTCACACTGCTAAATGAATGTAGCCTGAGTGTTCAGATCTCAAGTGTGTCCTCAATTCCTCTTCAATACATTCACACCTGTATTAAGAGCTGTCCACTTCTGGTTGGAGGGATGTTTAAACCAGGTCCAAACAGAAACACAGACAATGTCTCATGCACACTCACTCTCCTTTTATCCATCCAGAGACAGTGCGGGAGTCCACAGCCGCCCATCATGCCTTACTTGTGGCAAAGAATGTGGACAGTTTCCCTACCAACCAGGACCGTCTGGGGGAGGGCACCATTGATGTGTGGTGGGTGGTCCATGACGGAGGCATGCTGATGCTGCTGCCCTTCCTGCTGCGACAACACAAGGTTGGTCACTGTGTGTCACTGACTGACTCTTATGTTTCCATTTCACTTTCGTTTGTAATAACTCTCTGTCCTCCCTCTAGGTGTGGAGGAAATGTAAGATGCGCATCTTCACTGTGGCCCAGATGGATGACAACAGCATCCAAATGAAGAAAGATCTCCAGATGTTCCTTTACCACCTGCGATTGGATGCAGAGGTGGAAGTGGTGGAGATGGTGAGACTCAACAACTGCACTGGTTGCAGACAGAAATGTGCAAATAGGGAACTTCCTTTGGACTGCGTGTGATTTTATTTGAGTGAGAATTGTATTGATTGATTGATGCCTCTGTTCCAATCTTTGCAGCATGACAATGACATCTCAGCTTTTACGTATGAGAAGACGCTGATGATGGAGCAGAGATCTCAGATGCTGAAACAGATGCAGCTGTCCAGGACTGAGAGGGAGAGAGAGGTAATGCACACTTGCTCCAGCTGAACACCACCCAACACTCAGTCTGTCGTCTGTCTGAATTTGCATTCAAATGACAGTGGCTGTTTTTATGCTTTGGACTTTGATTAGATATATATAAGATAAGCTCATTTACCATCTTCAAGACGAAGACATTTATTGATGCCGAATGTTGTTAGTGCACGTGCACACAAAATCATGACTAGTATACCTTACATATAACTCTGTCCAATATGTAAAACTGATCATTAGTTTGTTTAAGTAACTACCAGACTGCATAGTTCAATGACAACAGTATTCTATTCAAATCTGGCCAACTGCTGCAATATATGACAAATGGCCCCTTTTCCTGTTCAACTGCCATCGCCTTTCTGGGCCACGCCACACTGCTCAGATTCAGAGTATCACTGATGAATCGCGTAATTCAATCCGGAGGAAGAACCAAGGCGCTGCAGAGAGCGCCAGCCTCAGCCGGCACTCCTCAACGGTGGAGGACAATCAGGAGGACGAGGTAGCCGATTTTTGTCAACCCAACTGTCCCTCACTGTTAGACCTCACCGGCCCATCTTCACAAAGCCACAGCTGTCGTTAGTCATGTGACTGTTTCATGGTTCATTATCATCTTGGTTTAAAATAGGGGAAAAAATGCATTGTCGTTCTTAGGAGGTGTCAGAAATTAGACTGTGATGCTGATACAGTGAATACACAGATGGGACTGAGAGACGGAGGAGTAGAAAGACAGCTTTGGTTTTACATTAGTACTGTCACAGGGAATGTATTTTGATTGAATCATACAAAGATTAACCTTTGAAATTAAAACTATACCCAGAGAGGACGGCTGCTAATCAGTCTTGTTTTATGATCATGTAGAAAAAGTTGTTGTTCGTTGATAGTTGAAAAACCTTTAGCTAAATCTATTAAAGGGTTTCATCAACGTCCCTCAATAGCACATGTCCAAAACATGTTTTTAACATCACATTAATGGCTTAGCCTCCCTGAAGTCAGTGTACAACTAGAAATGCAGAAAAATATTAGGGTCTTTGAATTATCAGCTGTTTGTACCTTTTCACTGTGAACGTCTCCATAGCATCAGCTCATGGTCTATTTGCCATGTTGATAGGACTAGTCCAGAGTGAGAGGATGATGGGTAACCTTGATGCACCAGTGATTGTAGCATTATAAAGTTTGAACAGTGCCATTGCCAGTTTTGTTATAAAACCTTTTGAATTGCCCACAAAGCAAAGGTGACTCTGGAATTACAGATAGCATCCATTTGTAAATCTGACTTTTCAGTCCAGATTAGCCTAGTAGGGCTCCTTGCTGTGTAGCGATTGACATCTGCTTTGTGAATATCAGCCTGTTGCACCCTGAGCCTGCAGTCCGAACTCCCATCACATTCATCATCCCAATCCCTTACCAGTCCCCTCAAAAAAAATGAAACCAGAAAGAGTGGACAGTATTCTCTCACAAGACTGAGACATGTGACAAAATCATCAGATGATGTAGAAAATTGTTCTCTCTTTTTAGATTTAGTGATCTTCATAATTATTTGCATCTATATTTTCATCCATCAAATGTGACATAACAATACTGTCTTCTCTTGTTTTTCATTTTACCTCAAGCATAGTCACCTAATCCATTCATTACCACATTGACACCCCCCTCCCTCCAGCCACTTGTTCATTTCACCAGTGTCAATACCAGGGCTTGCACAGACTAGTGGACTTGACAGCTTTACTGCTGAGTGATGACGCTTCAGCCTTGAAATCGACTAGTCGCCAGCCAACCCAAGCGAGATCATTGTTTCCCTCTGCCTGAGAGTACCATCACTTAACAGAAGCCTTCATCCAACCTGTGTTGATGCCCTCAGCTACACACAGAAAGCACACACAAAGAAAAACTGTGACCGGCCATGACTATCACAGCCTTTTGTTGAGTTTAGATTTTGTTCCCACCAACATTTCTCTTTATGTACATAGTTCTAACATGTTATTGTTGCATACTTATATTAACAAACAGAACAAGAAACAGAAAAATGCCATCCTCAAACACAGATCCTTTAAAATTCATCTGCATTCTGTTTAACTCACAGTCGCACATCTTCAAATGTTTAAGGCGATAGGGACTCAGATATTTTAACCAGGAAGCAATAAATATGGTACAAAGTGAGCCTCCTGTTTTCTGTTATAAAAAGCTATTTTGCTTTATGAAATGTGAACCAGTTCAATGTAGATCTTTATGTAAATCTTTATGAGAGATGATAATATCATTTATTTTAATCCTTTGTCATGGGCATTTCTGCACAGAAAGGTGAACAAAGTTGTTTATTTGTTTCCTTTAAATCATTTTAATATGGATATGAAAGTCCTACTCTGTGCTCTGCTGTACAGTATTATTCCTGCACTGTCCCTGCACTATAGTCCTGCTTCATATTTGTTTAAAACAATTTTTGGTTGACATCACACTGCACCTTCACCAGCTCCCTTTCCGTCAGTTGCACCATAAATGTCATGTGGACCCCTGCTGGGGCCTTCAGCCTGCCCACATATATATATATAGATATATATATTGTCTTGTGATGTACATGTGTTCTTGTGGCCCATGTGAGTTGTTGTGATTGTCAAACAGGTTTGTATTGTTTCTCTAGAATGTTGTGGCTCCAACTTGTAGAAGGAAAAATGTTGGATCCCAGTTTTTTGTATCCCAGTTTGTAATTGTCCATCTTTGTTTTTTTCTGTGGCCAGTCTGTCTTGCACAGTCTCCTACACCGTTTATTCATCTCCATTTGTGATTCCTTATTCTTCTACCAGCTCCCCCAGTGTTTTCCTTTTTATCTCCATGAATCCCTCTCTTTTGACTCATTATCACATCATCTTGGACCAGTTCCACCACTTTTTCTTCCTTCTCCTATTTTCTCTTCCCTTCTGTTGTCTCACCTCCACCACCACCTCCACTGATTTACTAACCCTCTTCTCTCCCTCCTCACCAGGCCCAGCTAATCCATGACAGAAACACGGCATCTCACGCCACGATTAACGACAAGGCCGAGACAGGGCCCGATCGGGTTCACATGACTTGGACCAAGGACAAGCTGTTCGCAGAGCGTAATCGCAATCGCGAGTGCAACGCCAATGTGGCTGTGCGTGACCTGTTCAACATGAAACCGTAAGTATCCACTCGTTTAACCTGAACAAGATGAAAAACACGACTGTACGTTTAGATCTAAAAAGAAGGGAAAGTTTTGTTCTGTAGATGTTTAACTAATACTAATACATTCTAATACATTCCCATATTGTTGGAGTGTCAAGTATTATACACTGTAAAGGTGCTAATTTACAACATGATGCATGTGCCTTGTAAGAGACGTTTGCACCATTTTGAATTGATTTAATGTTAATGGTGAAAGTACATAAAGAAGTCAGAGGATGTGAAGTTCAAACTCCAGCACAGAGAGAACTGACATTACTTCAGGATGGTGCCAAGGCCTCGGTGCAGGAGGACAGCGTGTGTCGTAGATTTAGTAGAAACAAGTCAGACATGGTGAAATGGGACAGTCGTGTGCATGGCGCGTGCATTCAGGCTGCATTTGGTACATGTGCGCATGTGTGTGTACACTTTCAGCCATTTCAGTCTTTGTGCATGGCCACACCACACAGACGCACACATGGACAGCAGCACTTTTCCATCCCAGACCGATCATACCATATGTGTGTGGACTTCATCACGTGTGTCCCAGTCCATTTACAGGTGCATCTGAAAAAATGACAGTATCGTGAAAAAGTTTGTCATAAAGAAATATATCCTATAATATATCCTACACTCGTCACACCTATTTCTATTCTATTTAATTTAAATAATTATGGCTTGCAGCTAAAAAATATTTATGAAAATATTCAAGTATTAATATTTAATTATGAATTTGATTAAATGACTATTCCTACAGTACAAATATAGTGTCTCTCAGTCTAGTTCATTTCACAACAACGATCATTTGGAAGACTGCTGATTCACACTTAGCTGAAGAAAATGATTGACACTCTCTACAAGCAGGGGGAGCCACCGAGGGTCCTCCTGACTGTTGGAGCTCATTCATGGAAAGTTGACTGGAAGTGTGGACATAAAAGGTGCACGAGAGTGATGATTCTGGGTGCCATGTCATCTGCTGGGGTTGGTCCACAGTGTCAAAGCAGTCTGCTGACAACATCTATTGGAATGCAGATTTCCTTTTCTAGCAGGACTTTATTCCTGTCCACCACTAACCATGATATTATGGGGTGAAGAGGAAGATGAAAACAGCCGACCCAACAATAAAGACAAGCTGAAGGCCGCTATCAAAGCAACCTGGGCTTAGATAATGTCTAAGCAGTTCCACAGGCTGCACCGCACTGATGCAGAAACCTGTGCAAAAGCAGCCCTGACCAAGTATTGAGTGCATACATTTATACACTTTTGAGAAGTTGGACATTTCTGTTGTGTAAATCTTTTTTTGATTGATCTTAGCAAATAGTAGAATATTTTGAGGTACTGGATTTTTTAATTAGCTAAGCTGTAATCATTAAAACTAAAACAAAAAAGGCTTCCCTTGAAATTCACATGCAACGAATCTACAATATGTATAAAAGTCTCACTTTTCGAAATTAAATGGTGAAAAAATCACAATATTCTCGTTTTCTGAGATGCACCTGGCTGACACAGTTTATAATTCTAATCAGCACATTGTAAGGCAGGAAAGGAAGAACATCAAACAGCTACATGTCACTATATTGTCTGTACTTCTGTCCCCTGCGGGTGACACTATGAACACTTTGGGACAGTTGCATGCAGTGTGGTGCGGAGAGCTGACGTAGAAGCATCTAAGCCTGTTTCTGTTGTTCTGTCCCATTTTTCTCCTTCTAGAGAGTGGGAGAGTCTGTAAGTCGCATTCTCTTTGCCCTAGGCCGTGTATGTGTGTGTATACTGCTGCTGCAGCGACTGTAGCTTCATTCAGTGTCCTCCAGCTCATGTGCTCGTACCTCTTGTGCGTATGTGTGTCCTCGTTTGTGTGTCCTAATGTGCATGGACTTACCGATTCAACATCACACTCTGCATTGTTGGAAAAGCTTCCATTTAGTTTGCATGAAATTATGTGTGAAAGCAAATTTGTGCTTCTCCTCCACTGTTAAAATGTTACATTGTAAAATCAAAAAAGCAGAATTTTGTGTTGCCTCGTGTTTCTCCTGAATATAATTTAGCTTCTGGCAGTTTGTGTCATGTGCTTTTAACATTATGATCTAACATTTGTGAAGGTGATGATAAAGAGGCAACATTTTTAGAGCTAGATAAGTGGTAACTATTAAAAAGCTGTGTACAACTTTCTATGATAAACTACAGTAGAAATACATAACCAAAACAAATGTTTCATTGTTGAACCTGAATGTCCCTTTTGTCTTTAAATGCTGCCTCTTTATTTGAACCATAACGCCTCAGTCCCCTAACCTTGCATTTGTTTATTTACTTGTGTTTGAGACTAACATCAACTGTGCTTTAATGAAAATACAACTTTTCTTCTACATATTGATTCATATGAGAATCAATAGACTGACAAACTGTATAAGTGAGGTTTAATTTCATCATCAAGAAAAATTCAGAAAAATATCCTATTAGTTTTCTTGTCGTACACAAGAGACTGAAAGGGAGCTTGTTCTCTCTGAGTTTCCATTTGCACTGTAAAAAAA